GAAAGGGCTAGTGTGCCTACTGCTTAACATTCTGACCCGGCTCTTAAACTAAACCAGCAGGAAACTGTCTGAACCGGACAGGAATTTCATCACTCTGCTCTCCTCCCCACTGAGAGCTGGTGTGTGGGGAGCGTTCTGGCGCACTATGGCTGCCGTTGCATCATCCAGGTGGAGCTGCACACTGGTGGTGGTGGAGGGGATCCCCATTACCTGTAACGCTCTCTGAGTGGAGTGTCCAGAAAAGTGTTATATAAGTATAAGGAATTAGTATTATTAATTTCACATTTCCCCCAGCTCTCCAGGCACCTTGCACAGACAAACCAGCTTTCCAGGACCAGGGCTGGTCCCCACTGCTTTATCCCAGTGAGGAATACCATGCTGATGCACTGAACTGCTGTGTGCTCATTCTATTGTATTCTCAATTCTCAATTCCAATCTATAACGACTACCCAATTGACGCAAAACCATACTTAAACCTCTCTCTGATTTATCCAAGAGCAGTGTACTGCTAAAATTGACATACTTCCTTTTAGCAAAAGGAAATCTTATTATCTGATCATTAATTACAAAGTCCCCCTTGCGTTTTTCATCTCCACTTAGAAGTTCTAGCATGTTAAAGCTGTACCCAAGATAAGGTCCAGCTAAAACACCAGACAAAAGCACAGCCAGAGCTCCTCCTATCTTTTCTACTTAGCCTTACCATTACTACTACCAACCCTAATAAGAATAATATAAAGGATGCTTCTCATCCTTTTAAATAAAACCAAGAGAAAAAGGCGTCTCTTTATTTAAAACTGTTAATAGTATTCAACCACTGACTGCATACTCGACAGTATGGGAATCTCTACGTTATATAAAATCAGCACAAGTGACCAAATTTAAATTTTAATCATTAAAAGTTCTACCGTTAATAAACAGGCTGCAATGCATAATTAACACTGCTTGTATTTACTTGAATACACAAATTCGTTAGACTGAACGTGCCATTTTACATTTTAATATTGCCCCCTCAGGCGTGATAGGCACATTTACTTTGGATTAAAAATACGATTTAGTGCATTCCTTGGCTTGATTGTAGTGAACGGGAAAATGAAGGTAACTAATTCATAACGACTTTTTAAAACGGTGCTAATTTATTTGGGACCTAAATTTCTGGGTTAATCTCCCAAAGCACGAGTTTTTTTCCCAACATCAACTCGAAATTACCGTCATATTTAAACTAAAACTGTATATCATTTAACAAATGTATTCAATGCAGTTTGCATTTCCTGTGCATGTCTTGTGCATTGGGCTGAAATACTACTACTACTACTGTAATTTGTCACCGTTGACATAATTTATTCACCCAGAGTGAACACATACGAGCCAAACCGGAGACGATTAAAAAGTAATTTCATCGATGCATGTAATCTGTAAAACGGAGTACGAACCAGTAATGGATTCTGCAGAACTCGGAACCGCGGCCGGGCAAGTCTGCGAGCGGGCAGAACTGTGAAGCTACGTTTCTCAGACCGGCCGCCACGTCTGAAACCGAGGGGGCCGGATCCCTTAGTGCGGTAACTTAAACCCGCGTCCCTTTCGCGGAAGCTACGCCGATTCGCGGCGCACCCAGATTTCTGAAACGCACTTGCGCTATCTGCGCTACCATCTCCCCCCCGTGGCCCGCTAAGGGGTTGGCGTACGGTCTGGCGCTGATGGCGCAGCCGTGCTTGCAGAATACCCCGGAAACCCGGAAGACGCGTGGTGCACAGTGAAGCTGTTGAGATTATAGACAAGGTAATGGCGTGGGGGAGACCCCCGGGACCAAAGGCGAAAAACTGTCAGAAAAAATGAGCACATACTGTTCTAGTATGGATTTCTTATTCTTGAGTGGATCGTTTTGATCGTTTTTTTTTCGTTTGGCGTAAAGTCCTGGAGGTAAAGGTCGAAAAATCTGCGCGTTATTTTACAGCGCACCCCTGTTTTTTGGTTTGTCTGTCGGCGAATGAGAGAAAACCAGTGAGCAGGGCGGCAGGCCGCTTCGATTTGTAGGCGAAACGTCTGGTTTGTAGGTGCGATTTGTTTGAGGAAGAAACTTAAGAGTTGTTGTTGTTGTTGTTGTTGTTGTTTTTTTTTAGGCACGGCCACCTTGTTTTAAGTTTTTCCAGTATTTCCCTGTTACACATCACTGCCTTTTGCGGTCTTGATTTGTATTTATTGCATTTAACGTAATTCAAGTTTTGTTGTAGGAACTCAAAATCAAGATTTTTTTGTTAAAAAAACTGCGATTTCCTTGCTGTAATGCCGTGTTTTAAAATTATTTTTTTTTTTAGATTTGATCAGTCGAACTTGCACAAGTCAACCCTTCCAATCTGCTGCCGTAAATTTACTTCTGCAACCCCGTGTTCAATATGAATGTGCTTGTATAGACAGAAATATTTTGTTACACTTCTGTGATGATATAAAAGTATTGTGTTTCTAAATAAATTGCAGTTGGGTATTTCAGAGCACCTGTATAAAATACACTTTGATATAACTTATGTTCTCGTAATATCTTAGACCAGCAGTAGTTTAAATGGATGAAATGTACATCGAGGTAGAAATGTGTGGTACCTTATTTCAATAACGTAACACATTTTCATCGCGTTTCGAGATCAGCCCTGTACTACAGAAGGCTTGGGGGTATTTTTGAAGTGTTTAAAACAGATGTTAAGGTTATATTGAAATGTAAGAACACGAAAGCTGTGCGGACCTGTGCTTTACCTTGTTTGATTTTTTTTTTCATAAAGTGAAGTTGTGTTGTAATATGTACGTCTGACGGTGTTAGTCATGTTATATGTGCTCTCGTTTGTATTGTATTTTTGCTGTTATGATTAAAAGCGTTTAAAAAATAATGGCTATTCCTATACACAAATACACCTTCTTTCCTACAAATGTCCAGCTTCAAGCAAAGGAGCTTAACCTTCATATGCGAACACCTCTCCGCAGTACTCCTGTAGATCACGTCTGTGATCAGGTGTATTGAGACATTTTCTGAATCATGTTAGCGGTTTTTTCCTAGTCACATGAGAGTCCCAGAAATCACTGCAATTTTTGTATTTCATATTTCCTCCTTTCTTTTGCAAGCTGTTTTACTGAGACTTCACACAGTTTTAATGTATTACCCAGTCATATTTTGGTTTTATTAAGTCAATTTCCTTTGACTATGGTGCACAGATTGTACTTTTTTAAATCAGATTACATTGATTTGCTGCTGTGGAACAGAGGTCAGGTGTTGCATCGCAAATTCAGAGCGACCCGGGGAAGAGCAATGAACTGTAGCGATGTTGTACATACAGTAGAGGGCGCTGTTCGCCTTGACTTCACCACCGCTGTCATTCACTGAAGCCTGAAGAATCGCTGTAGACGTTAAGGCTGGACAGTTCAATCCAAGATCATCTACGTTTTGCTTTGAAGAAGCCGTTAAAAAAATGAATGGATGAAATAAAAGCGTCCTGTTTTGTTAGTTAATAGAGCAGACAACAACAGGGCATTAACAATTGATACAGATTCTTGAGTGGTAGTTCCCATATTGAATTCACTCTTTGGTTCTGTAGATTGCTCTTTGACTCACACAATACTTTTCCAGTACTGTATGTGTGTGTCGGACATATTGCTGGGAAAGGTCATTGTATGGCGTCCAGGACTTCTAAATGCTTTTCACGTGTTACAGAGTTCCTTGCTGAGACTGAGTTGTTTTTTTGCTATACCAGACTGTGAAGGGCTGCTGCTCTGAGACTCTGAGTTTGAGCTAAGCCACTGAGGCAACAGAGAGCGAGGTTTCAGAAATGCCCTTTGATCCATCAAGTCTGGCTCTAGGCCCTAACAGGGAGTTGGGAGTTTGTGGTGAGAAATGTATTTTAAATAAAATGTATGTGTTTCTATCCAAAAAAATGAAAAGCACAGCGTGCATGCATATTTTGATCACTGTTTGCTTTCCTGCTCTAGAAGCTGTGTGAGACTTGTTGGCACACATGCAGATGGAGAAGCACAAGTGATCAGCTGATCACAGGGAGCGAGTGAAGGTGTTGTGGATCAGGATAGGTGAACAGGTGATCTGAAAGTTGAGGAAACAAAACTAGCATTGCAAAAATACAGAATCTCACTGGACACGATAAGCAGACATTTTCATGTTTGGCCAGACTGTTAAAATATTGATTATTCAGTGTTAATATAGTGATATTACTAAGGGTATTACTAGTCTTTATGTCAACTAAAAGATAAAAAGACTCTCCTGATGAATTCCAGATCCTTGCCTGAGTAGTATTTTTAGTCACTTCGGGAACTGGCAATATATGCTTTTTGGTTTTTCTTTCTAAAGCTCTTGATTACCTGATTACTTAATTTGATAAACTAGTGCTTGTTTGCCCTGCAATGGACTGGCGTCCCACCCAGGGTGTATCCTGCCCTGTGCCTGTTGCTTGGGAAGATAGGCTCCGGCTCCCCTGCGATCCTGAATTGAAAGAAGCGGGTAGGAAAGGGATCGGTTGATTGGTTAATTGACAAATTGGTTTGTTTCTTTCTGGATGGTAATCTGGCTTGTTTTATAAGGCAGCAGCATTTTGAATGTGTTGCCCAGTATGGTCCAGGTAATGAATTGATAAGTTTGGTTACAGAATGTCATACTCATATGCTCTCTGTGAATACCTGACATAAGGACATCACAATGTGAAGGAGAGGATGCCATCAGTCCATCCTAAATTGATTGGTTATTAGAAGTTAATTGATCCAAAGATTTCACTCTTTATGTAAAGAAGTACACACTGTCCTCAATTTTAAATGTGTTTCCTCTTACATATCCCTTAGATACTTTAGGTGGTTTGCTCTCCACTGATCACTATAAAAGTCTGACTTGCAGATTTGTCTTGGCAGGGAAGGATGCAGAAGTTTAAGTCCTACAGGCATCTTAAACTACAAGGAGAACATTTATACCTGAATAGTCATAGTTCATAAACAACTTCTGTGAAACTGTGAGACCAAGCAGCTAAAGTGTAGTCCAAGCAGCACAGTTTTATAAGATCTGCGGTCAGTAGCTCCATGTTTTGGTTCAATTACTAGAACACCGATATGTTTGATGTTCCTGGACAATAATGAGCATTAGAGAAAACAGATGAACCTAGGCAAAAGAATTGAATTCCTTTTATATATACTGTACACATACATTCTTCAGGCACTAATGTGAATAAGTGGGTATGAAGTGGAGACAGGGGCTTTGTGAGCACAAATAAAATACACACCTTTCTTAGAGCTTGAGCTTTTTTCTGGAATCGTGCCATATGAGGACTGAAAATCAATGTAGTGCAGAGTCTTGGTGTAAGTGTTGAAATATTGCGACTAAAAATCTATATAACCAAAGGGTGATTATGGTATTTATAAACAGCAGGTAAAGGGTGTAATGGTGTGTACAGTGTAGCAAGATTATACTGTAGTATACTAGGATTCTCTATACAGTGTAATGGAGTGGATCATAAAGAATTACCTCATTGTCTTATTTAGAATATGCTGCATTTGAAAAAAATGGTTTTTACAAAGAAATAAAACATAAACATCAGTTTCCCAATCAACATGTTTCACAGTAATTTCTAAAGGACTGAAATGTTTCAATATATAGTATTCCATGGCAATATTAAAAGCATTTTATGCTGTCTCGACTGTTGTGCGAGTAATACTGCAGATAATTAAAAACAGAGTGTCATTCACTTGTACAGATTGTGCTTTAGCAATACCTAGGTTAATCATTGAATTGCTATCAAAGTTCCCAAATTCCAATTCCAGTTTTCCATTTTTCTGAAAGAAACCACTGTTTATGATTGGGCCTGTGCTTCATCTGTCTGCCTCCCACTGGAGAAGGCAGGTAATTTGATATTATTGCGACTTGTGAATGAAGGTAGTATTTACAGCCACAATTATGTTATATCTGTTCTGTGTTCTCTGTGCTATTACACATAATAAATTGATTTAGCTTCAATGGTATTATCAAAAGTTTCATGTCCCTAATAATGAAAATTATACCATGTCACAACAAGTCGTACATCCTGGCTTGGGTTTAATTTTTAATTTAGGTGGTGTAATGATGCAAATAATGTATTTTAATTAAATGTCTTCAGCCTCAAAGGATGTAGGAATCACGGTTTTGCATCTCAATGAACTACCTGCTCAGCTATAAAAATAAAAGGGATGCAAAGCTTAACAGGGATGTTTCGCTTCTGACAGCAATGAAGGATTTTGCTTTCAGCTTCCCCTGCAAACTTCCAATTCTCAGACCCAATTTTCAAAGACCCCCTGCTGCCACCTGCAGAGAGGTTTTATCTGTGTGGATCTTCTCTTTTTCTCAGATCTTGTGGTTGTCAGATGTGTGTAGTTCTCTGTCAGTGGAAAAATACAAACTCTTTATTCTCTCTCCTGAGAGTTTAAATAGTATCATTAGGGGCTGTTGACACCTGTCACGTCTGCTTGTCCGTCTGTCTGTTTAAGAGAGTCACAGGTATTTGACATGTTAATTATATGATCAGCGTCCAGATTGGCTCTTATTTGTGGCTAGCTTCTGTTCAGCTGAAAAAAAAAGTCAGCAAAAGGAAGGCATTATAGAAGATGATAACAGCATGACTATGAACTTTGAACAGCCATTCTGGGGTTTATATACACTTGAAAATCTCCTCCAGAGTCAGGACTGTGTGACAAAGCATGCTCTCATCATGCAGTTCTCTGACTGGAAGAAGATGCATGGTGTTTAGACAGCACGGCTAAAATACAGGGTCAGTCGCTTTTTCACCCTTAAACAGTTTGAAAGTACCATGTAAACTGGAGGCACTCAAGTCTTTGCAGCATTCGAGATCCTGTTTGCTTGACGTTGGCTCCCTTTCTTCCCAGCACAAGAGCAGCACTGAAGCACGAATACTGGTGGCCAAAAAAGAAAGAGTGAAAGCATGTTGAATCTTCCATGATGTGTTAACACCAGTTATGTTTTTACAAAATAGACCCTCGTCTTTTTTGACTTGCAGCATCCACATTTAAAGTGGACTTGCTCTCCAGCAACAAAAACCTGCAGTTCTTCCCATTAGCATTAGTTCCACCTATTTTGCTCCTGATACTCCCTGCCCCCTTACTGTAGACAGGTCCTTTCCGTCTACCAGGGGAGCTGATATCTTATTCACCTTCCCCTGTCACCTTCCAGATCTGACTTGGCAACAAAGACTGGGCAGAGTCAGTTCTCTGAAGAAGGCTGTGTGAGCCAGCTCTGACAGAGATGGGTGGCTTCTGCTGATCAGATAGCCGATGTCAGAAGCCTGTGATCCCAGTTCTCCTGTCCCTAGTTACCATATGTTCATTCTCCTTTTGGTAATAGCAAACAGGAGACTCCACGTTGCCCAACTGACAACCAATGGTGGTGTAAAGCACCTCAAATAAAAATGTCTCCCCACTTATGTTCAGCAGTAATTCTGTCTCCTGAGAACTGGCCCACTATAAGAATCTCCCAGCTGCCTCGAAGTCTCCCCTTCACTACACCATCTTGATCTCTCCCACTGGTTCCTGGTGGCACAAGCAGGATGCTAAGAAAAGCAGGCTGCATCACTGCTGGGAGAAACACAAAAGACTCTTTCAGCACCATAGTGATGTATATTCACTGGTGCATATGATATTTTTAATATCAGTCCTGATTATTTAAATGTTCCCTCCAATAGATAAATATTAATGAGATCATTTGCATTATTGCATGCTGTTAATTTCCCTAATACAGACCTGCATAGCAACATTGTCTGGAACGGACAAGTGAAATATTAGGAAAAAATAAGTAGTAAACCCACCCACAAATTCATTAAATGTGTTAGTGTGCAGAGTTTCAAGGATAATTCGC